TCCATAATCTTCCCCGGCACCGAGGTCAGGCTGATATCTTTCCAATTCATATCTTCTTTGGCCTGAGTGCTAGTATAGCCTCTTAGCTTGTGGTGAAATGGGAAGCAGATATTCACAGCAACTCAGTTCTTCATCATGGTCCAGCTGAACAGACGCCCATACAATAACAATTTTTAGTTATTGAAGAATTTCTGATGTTTCAGAAGCAACAAACCACAACTGGAAGGCTCAGAACCCCGTTAGCTGTCCTCATGTCCAGTAAAAGACCTATATTTACTCATACTTGTGCCATTTTGTCACTAACTAGCACACCACGAATGGCGAGTCAGGGACACGCATTGCTCAAACACCATGTTTATAACTGTACTGCTATGTAGTTTTACAACTGGTACCCTAAACCACCGTGAGATCTATTGTGGCTGGTTAGCGCCACAAGTAATCAGCAACCACTGCTCAGAAAAACATAAAAGAAAAAGTCAAAGCAGTAAAGCATGATGCAAATATTTTGCCATATGTGCTGTTATGCATTCTGACAATTCATTCAAAAGAATAATTTTAGCACAAATCTCCCTCAGTATAGGTTATTATCAGGTCACAAGCCACTGAAATATTTAAGCAGCATAGAGCCATATGAATTTTCCCTCATTAGCAAACATTGTATGACACATGACATTAAAGCACCCATAGGCAAGGGCCAGCTCCCATTGAATTTGAGAGCAAATCTCTCAGTTTCAATGGCAACAGAATTAGACCCTTCTATAAAATACCAAAAATAAAAATTTGCATCAGAAGTCCTCAACCCGGTGAATTATGTAAAACGTGTCTCTGGTCTACACATTTTGCTATAGTAAACACGCTATTAGTGAAGGTAGATAGACTTTTTTCACCTGACAGACTAATTAGTATTCACAGGATGAAAATACTGCATTGCTGGCTCCGCACACCTTGCAAATCATGGCAAACCATAGTGGTTTTGAAATGCACTGTTTTTAAGATTGCCACACATTTAATATTGCCCCTTCTCGATGCTCACTGATACACTTTTTCTCCTTTCTGGTCTATCGGATGAAAGCATCCGGTGGCTCTGAAACTACTGCTCCAAGTATCTTCATTAAAGCTATCAATTTTGTTAATTGAGATGCAGCTTCTTGAAGCAGAATGAAAAGTAGGTGTCATTTTGCAGATGTTGTGCTCCTCTGAAATGAGATTTCCCAAGAGAGCACTGATGCTTCCTTTATCATTTCATAGTTTCTTTTATTTGTTCTACATGAGGCAGCAAAATGAGTCAGAGTTTCATAACATGCAAGAAAACTCCGGAGAGAAATCTCAATAGCGTACTTAATAGCAAACTTCTCACAATCAGGTTGTTTGATAACA